AAAGTCTACCTACTCCTAGTCAGGTTGACCCTAGTACCGGTTCAAATCAATTTCAACCGGGAATTAACATTGTTATCGGTGATATTTTATATTATGATACAAAAAAAGATCGGGAAGAATTGGCAAAAATGGTAATTGTTATGTGCTTACCTTATAGTTTTCCTTCTGACCACTAACTTTGTGCATTATATTAGAAAAATCTTTAATCCTACTTATAAAGGTTTTCCTCTCACAACCGTAAAGAGCGATATTTATAAATATAAATATGAATATGAACAATATTTGCGCTATTTATTTACTCATATAAATTATCGTGTTGCTATTACAACTGATATTGGTAGAAGTGGTAACGACTGTGATTACCTTACTGTTACCAGTCATTGAATTGATGAGGATTGGATAATGCAAAAGCGTATTATTTCTTATAGAATAATTAATTCACGTCACACATGGCAGTTTATTGCTAGCACCATTACAAATATTTGTAGATATTTTTGCATAAGTGATAAAATNTTTTAATCCTACTTATAAAGGTTTTCCTCGCACAACCGTAAAGAGCGATATTTATAAATATAAACATGAATATGAACAATATTTGCGCTATTTATTTACTCATATAAATTATCGTGTTGCTATTACAACTGATATTGGTAGAAGTGGTAACGACTGTGATTACCTTACTGTTACCAGTCATTGAATTGATGAGGATTGGATAATGCAAAAGCGTATTATTTCTTATAGAATAATTAATTCACGTCACACATGGCAGTTTATTGCTAGCACCATTACAAATATTTGTAGATATTTTTGCATAAGTGATAAAATAATGTCAATTTCAATGGATAATGCTACTAGTAATATAAATGCTATAGCCTTGCTTACCACTACGCTAAATCCTGTATATAGTGACATTTTTCATGTTAGATGTATTTGTCATACTCCCTCCGTTTTAATTTATGTGAACCTATTTGACTGGGCACGGAGTTTAAGAAAATAGAGAAGACTTTTAAACTTGTGGTATAAAATGAAGCACATATATTTTGTGTGGCTATAAATCATTGCACAAAGGTAAATTATTTTCAAATAAGGAAAGAGGTCATTCTTTTTGGCACGGACTAAAAAGAAAATAGGTTCACATAAATTAAAACGGAGGGAGTATTTACCATTTAATTGTGGGTGATGGTATGCGAATTTTAAATATTGAAATTGAAAAGGTTAAAATGGCTCTTAACTAACTTTTTTATTCAAATCGTAGAAGTAGACTTAGAGAATATTTTAAAAGATGCGATAAATTTGGCCTAAGAGAAAGAAAGGTTCCTAAACATTGTCCAACTAGATGGAATTATATGTATGAAAGTTTGGTTGTTGCATATGAATATAAAAACCCCATAAATTCAACATTTAATGCACATGTAAGTGAAGATGATGAGCACCTTACAAATGGGGATTGGGCTAATGTTAAAATACTTGTAGATTTTTTAGAAAAATTTCATATTGCTACAAATAAATTTTCTAGGCAATATTATCCTACTATTTCTAATTGTTTAGTTTATATTGCAGAACTTGCAAATTTGTTTGCTCATTTTTCAGAGGGTGGGGAAATTTATAAACTTATTATTGATTCTATGAGAAAAAAGTTTAAAAAATATTTTTTCCCTATTCCCCCTATTTATGGTGGTTCTGCTTTGTTAAATCCTTGTATGAAATTAGGAGGTCCTCATTTTTGGTATGAAACTGTTTATAATGGTTTAGCACTTGAAGATGAGGAATTGTCTCAACTTCCGAAAGCAATAGCCTCAATTAGAATAAATGCTCAAACTATTTTTAATGTTTATCAAGTTGCATTAAATCATGCTAGACCAAATGTTCCAATTCCTTCTTCTTCTGATTCTCAATCATCTAAAAGAATTGCGGGAGTAAGAGCACTTAGTGCTTGGGCGGGTTTTAGGGGTTCTCAAGGTAGTAGTGATTTTTCACAACTAAATGAGCTTGAAGTTTATTTGTCGCAGGGAATTGAGGAAGTGAATCCTGACGGCTCCTTTAATCTTTTGGAATGGTGGAAGGACAAAGGAAAACACTTTCCGGTTCTTTCAAGGATGACCCGAGATATTTTAACTATTCAAGCTTCAACAGTGGCATCAGAGAGTACTTTCAGTCAAGCAAGACTTTAACTCGGTGTTTATAGAGTGTCTATGAGGGATAACTTGGAAAAATTAGTACTTTTCAGAGATTGGATCCGGTCGGAAAGAAGAAATTTTGGACTTGCTGAATTACAACCAGATGAATACGAAGCTTACGAAGAAATGTTAGTTGAACTTGCGGAGGATGATGTTTCGCCCGAAAGTGGTGATGACCAAGCTACTTTTTCGCCGCCACCAATGGAAATTCCTCCGGATCTTGATGGATTTATGAAGTTTGTAAGAGATATCATGTAACTTGTATGAACAAAAATTAGTATGTATTATGTAACTTGTATTTTGGCACAACTTGATTAGTTTCTTTTTCT